TGCAGATTGTCTCTGTTCCAGTCGTAGGAAATTCCCCCAATAGTGTGGTGAATCATTTATTAAAGGACAAATAAAACAAAATAATTCACTTACAAGTTTTAGAACTTTTATGGCAAGCTTTTAAAAAACACAGTGATCCTTAGGCCTGATCAATATATGTATACAGCGAGCAATGATCTCTTCTCAGCATTGGGTAAGCAACAGGAATGCCAGGAAGTCGCCTCTGAGCTCCTCTTTAATCCTTAGGGGGGGGGGGGGACTTGAAAAAAAATTGCCCAGAGTTGGGCTTTAACTGCCTCATAACAGAAAAGTAGGGCTGAGTGCTAGGGAATTATATTGCCTGTGCCTTCATCGATTTGCCTCTCCTTGTGTGCACCATCAAGCAGCTGCCATTTCTATCTGGTGGTTGTATTTGGTGCATGCACATGGGGCATCTGGACTCCTCCTATACACTACAGGACGTTTTGATGTATTCCCAGGTTAGCCCCCAGTCCATGTAATCTTGTACTGTATGTCCTATTGAGCTCACAATGATTAGAGCAGGACAAACCAGAGCTGCATTACTGCTGCACACCATCTCAACATCTATTTGCAACCAAGACCTGTTTTAACGTAGAGCTACGTTAGACAGGTCCTCTTTGCTTTATTGCAGTACAAAATACCAGGGAATTGTATGTTAAACGCACTGTTTAACAGCCTGACATTTCCTCAGCAGGCGGTCAGTCTGTTGCACAAGGCCGAAAAGACAATATTGTTGCCAATGGAGCGCGACAGACACTCTGCCATGAGGTCATCAGTCAGCTGGCAGATTAAACCCATGACAGGTAAAGGCAGACAATACAGGCCATTGTGCCGCTCATGGCTCTACCACACTCTCCAGTCTATTCTGGCGTACCGTGCCTTCTCTCAGGCTTCACATTTTTGTGGGAAGGGAGGTAGCATGGAGGGGGGTTTAACATAATATTTCACACTTTGTACAGAACATCAAACAGATCTGCGCTGGGCTTTGGAAAAGCACATGAAAGAGACGCCTGAAGTAGAGATGTGTTTGAGGAACGCTTTGCCAGTGATATTCGTGATCCGAAATGATGTACCCTAAACAGTCGCACATCTGGAGGGCATTACAGTTTGGGAAATCCCTGCTGTTGAAATTATGTCATAACTTGCCTGATCCCTGCCTTTATAGACGTTAATCACCTCAGTTACCCCTCCGTGTGCTGAAGGCCCTGCAGACTTAAAGGGAACCTTCAGGTAATTCTCAGAGAGAGCAGAATTTGTGTTATTATTATAAAGTTCACTGAACAAATTTAACTCCAGGACAGCAGCTAAATACACAGATCAGATAAGTATAAGGCGGATGTTTTACCTCCTGAAGGATCGGTATTTCTCTCCATCCTGTCCTGAGATTTACTCAGCCTTGCCAAACAGAACAGCCATCCAGGTAACCTGACTATTCTCAATAGCAGTTGAGAAATATACTCTAGGTCCAGGGCCGGATTTACTCTCTCTGCTGCCCCAAGGCCAGGTTTCTCAATGTGCCCCCATCCCAGCCAAACCCAAGGGTTGGTGTTAATTTTTTATATTTTTTCTTTATTTTATTTTTTTTAACTTTTTTTATCATGTAAGGGCCCCAACGCTGGCTAGCTTAGGACACCACTACTGGCCAGTAGTATAGGGAGGTTCGGACATTGTTAAAGGGAGACCTTAAAGGGACATACACCCCATTCAGGGGAAAGCCTTTAGAGACAATTGGCCTCACATACCTCACATGCAGATAGCTGCAGTTACTGGGTCGCAGAGTGCCTCAGCCTGTTGATACACATTATTGTTGGGGATTTCTGTCATTACTATTGTATCATAGTTGTTCATCTCTGATTTGTCAGTAAATCTGCTATAAAACTGTTCAAAGGTGTGTTGGTGTGCTGTGGATCCACGCTTTGGGCGGTACATTGGTGTAGGCGGATAGAAATATCCGGTTATTCAGCGGCTCCTTCGGGGGTGAGCGCTACATTTGTTATAATTTTTTTTAGACCTGCAGGCAGCATACAAGACCTGCAGGCTGCATACAAGTGATCTCGGTGACATCGCGAAAGAGTGGCGGCTCCCCTGCTGTACATTTAGCTCTGCTTGCCCAAAGAAAAAGGAAAAACTATCCATCCGGCGGCCAAAACTGCATGGGCGTTGGGAGATAGGAATTGCACACCCCTTCTGCTCCCTGCTGCCCCAGGGCCGAGCCTTGGTTGGCCTAGTGGGAAATCCAGCCCTGTCTAGGTCACCTCCCCACTCCCAGCCAGTGGTGTACAGTCAATGAGCAGCAGAAGATGGATTAGCCCCTGCCTCTGCTCCCTGCTCGTGTCAGCACTGCCTTGATATTTGCATGCAACACACCGAATTGTCTCCTTTAGCTGCCCTTACATCTCACAATTGGAGTGATGCTGCACAGGATCTTACAGGAGGTTACAAATCCAGGTACCTAGACAGGTTGTATTTAGAAGTAATAAACTTTAATGAATACCTGTCTTCTTAAATTGATTTTATATCTGACTGGAGCTCAGCTTTAAATCTGACCTCTAGACAGATATAGAATGCACACATTAATTATTCATTAGTAAGTTATTAAATGCATATTTTACTTAAAGGATAATTCCACTTTCTCAGGCGAATCTGGGGAAATAGAATTACCCCCCATCAATCAGCCCCCCCCCCCACCTCCATTGTTTTTACCTGTCCAAGATCGCTCCTTCCCTTCTGAAGCTCCCGGCATACAATCCCTACTTTGTACACAGTATTGCACCCCTGCGGTATGTATTTTACATTTTGCTCGCAAATGGAGAGAAAGAGAATAGAAAATAAGTGTTTGTCATTGTTTAGCTCGGTCAGAAGCGCTTCTCATTGGCCAGCTCAGTCAGAAGCGCTTCTCATTGGCCAGCTCAGTCAGAAGCGCTTCTCATTGGTCAGCGCAGTCAGAAGCTTTTCTCATTGGCCAGCGCAGTCAGAAGCGCTTCTGATTGGCCAGCGCAGTCAGAAGCACTTCCCATTGGTAAGCGTAGTCGCCATGGGCGAGCGAAATTTAAAATACATATCACAGGGCTGCAATTCCATGTACGGAGTACAGCTAGTATACTGGGAGCCATGGAGGGGAAGGAGGGATTGTGGACAGGTAAGAGCAGCGGAAGGGGTTAAGGAGAGGGGGCAGATTGGTGGGGGTAATTCCATTTTCCCAGATTGGCCTGGGTAAGTGGTATTGCCTTTTATTTACCTAACCTGAGTACCTGAATTTGACTTGATATCAGCCACTTGACATCCCCTGTACAGAAGCACTTATACTTGGAGAGGTTGGTGTTCACCAGAAAGCAGAGAGTGTGTGAAGGTTCTCATGCATCCAGGTCATGGCATATCTGTAGTCTATATCCAGTTGCCTTGACTTATTTTTGACAGATATAGAAAGCAGAGAGGTAACCTCATCAGTCTGCTGCTGCTCCTTTCATATTCCAGTCTGCAGGCTGGGGATTGAAAGAGGACACCAATGTTTTTCCTAGCTGCAAGTTGTGTTATCCACTTGGCTGTGTTGTGTGAGGGGTTATTACATTTTTAATATTGGATGGAAAGAAATACAATATCTTTTGCAGATCAAACAGCCCCCATATATGTATTTCATCTCTGTATTAAGCTGTTTGCCTGGAATTCCCATTTAATTTGTGATGCAATTGCCATATTACAGCACTTAATCATAATAACATAGCTTGCTTATTTCTGCTCTTCCAACTGTAATAGTATGAACCCCATTCTGTTCCTCAGCTGTTTGCTTTAAGTGTGTCCCGTTTGTCTTTTGCCAGGATTGTACTGATGGACGATGCAATGGACTGTCTAATGTCATTCTCCGATTTCCTCTATGCCTTCCAGATCCAGTTTTATTACTCTGGTGAGTGTCCTTCTGGCTACACGGGACCCATTCGTCATCTGCACAACTTGACAGTTGTGCGCAGTATCTGTTCACTGTGCGCTGATGTCACCAGTCCTCGAGGAAGTCTGGAGGTCTCCAAGACATTTCTGCTGGGACTGGAACATGATTTTCTGTTATACATATTAGCGGTGCACATTGTGAACACTCTTCTTTTATGTTTGCAGAGTTTTTGGACAGTGCTGCTGCAGTTTATCAGGATTTGCTCACTGGCAAAACCTCAAATACCGTCATAGTCCCAACATCACGTTCTGCTGCACCACGCCAACGCCAGCCTGCCACTGACAGTGCATCTCTAGAGGGCATTGAGGCACCACACTTTTACCAGTGCTTGGAGAACTTATGTGAACGGCTTAGAAACAGGTATTCATGACTGGAAAATAAATGTGATAGCTGAATAGGCAGTGAAGAATTTGGTAGGTGGTGGAACAGCCACACAACCCTGGGCAGCAATATAGGCTGTAGATTATAAGACATATAGGTGCTGATGTAAAAAATGTTCCTCCCAGCTGGGTGTAGGGGCCTCCCGAGGCCGGGTGCAGGGGCCTCCTGAGGCCGGGTGCCACCTGGAGCGGAGAACAGGTGACACCCCCCGATGTGACGACATCACGCATGTGCGTGATGACGTCATCACGTATGCGCAGTCATCTAATTGACGCCTCCGGATACCTTGGCCATATAGAGTTGGTGAAACCTCTGCCCATCCTCTGGTTCAACCTCTGCCCATCCTCTGGTTCTTCTGCTTGGGAAGAAAAGAAGGCACAGCCCACAAAATGAGGCTGGTGGTTCAGTAACTGAAATGACACTATTGCCAAACTGAAAAACCTCCAAGAGCAGCTCCCTGGAAAATAAGAAAATGTATACTTATCTCTCTGATGCCCAAGTGCCATGTTGTCCACTGTGGTTCCTCCCACCAACCCCTATGTCACCATAGGATACAGTAATGCTGAAGGGGTCAGTCACCCTAAAGTTCCGGATGACAGCATGCAACAAGCTTTTAAAAAGAGCAAAGTTTCAATACACTGCCCACCAGGCGCTAGACATGAAGCTTCTTTCACGGGGGAAAGGTTCTACTCTTTATAAGTTTTTCAGCCTGGCAACATTGTTTCTTTTATAGCCATCTTGATGCAGATCTCATCCCCTTGATCTCATCTTGATGACTGTGCCTGACTCTTCTACCTAAACAACAGCGATGGAGATTGTGTAGAGCAAGGGTAGGCAAACTCTGGCACTCCAGCTGTGGTGCAACTACAAGTCCCATGAGGCATTGCAAGACTCTGACAGTCACTGACATAACTTCCAGAGGCAGATGCATGAAGGGATTTATAAAAAGTTAAAGGGGCAGTCCGCCGGTAACACCTACAGGTAGTTGTGAGACAAATGAAAAGTGATTTATTAATTCGTGATATCTCACCTCTCCACTGTTCTCCACCTTTCTCTCTGATCCCGCACCACCCAAGCCAGGAAGTACCACACTTGCTCGCCTCCCCATCACTGTCAAGCTTATCGGACCATACCAGCAATCAACCAAGCCACACCGATTGGTTCAAAACATTTCTTCCCCTCGGTCGTGGCGCTTCCTTTTCTCCTTTTGGTTCTGCATGATGGGATTTGAAGTTTCACCACATTTGGAGGGCTGAAGTTTGGTGTAGAGCAAGGCTAGGCAAACTTCAGCCCTCCAGCTGTGGTGACACTACAAATTCCATGAGGCATTGCAAGACGCTGGCAGCCACAGGCATGACTCCCAATGGCAGAGGGATGACGGAATTTGTAGTTTCACCACAGCTAGAGGGGCCGTTGTTTGCTTGCCCTTGGTGTGTAGAAGATGTACCTGGCCCCTTTAAAGAATGGACAGCTGGAATAATATTTTTTTACTTAGAGAATGTAGTTTTTTATATTTATATTCTTAACTATAATACAATTCGGAAATTGTTTTGTATTTATTTCATTTGGTAAATAAGAAATCCCCCATAACACTATTTGACATTTATCAGTATCATATTCCTGGTGTCTTAGCTCTATGTAAAAGTTGGAGCTCTCTGCAGTCTTTTTCTTCAGCTGCTGGGCAAAAATAGACCAGAATGAGTCAGAGGAGGAACAAACCCCCTCCATACCTCCTAACAGAGCTAGAACCATCTGTATTAGTCAGTTTACACAGGCTGCTCTCAGCTATGCAGGCAGAGCTGGGCTTCCTCCTGTATTCCTGTCTTAATTGCTGTCAAATCTAAATGTAGTTGAATTAGCACCACTTCAGGGCAGCACTGTGTCATGCATATATTCTCCCCGCGTTCTATGAGCCTGGTACATTCTTCCTATGGGTGTGTTTAGCTGTGCTGAGTAAATACCTGGGTCACATAACTGTGTTGTCCTTTAGGTGCACATTGTAAACCCTTCACCTGGGAGAGGTGGGTGGAGAAGGGGCCTCTTTCCGGGGCACAGATTCCTACCGATGTTTTCTCTCTGAGGATTTATGTCCCAACTTCTTCCAGTCAGCTCACTGGTTCTAGCTGAGCCCTCAGGGAGAGCCTTGTCAGTATATGGCACAAAGGACTTGCTTGTTATGCAATGTGTACAGCAGGTATATGAAGTGCTTTAATAGCTGAGGAGAGGAAGGATTGTTGTTTTAAGCCATGAGTACACAGAGATCAATTATTTACAGTAATGGTAGCCCTGAAGAACGGTGGAGACAGTAACTATTCTGCAAGGGTCTCTTTATGAGCCGATGTGGGCTTTTGTGCTTTAACAATGTATGACTCATTTTTCACCATTGTCGGCTGTTGAGGGATTAGAATTTACATCAAAGTGGATGTGATTTCAAGCCTCCTTCATGGATAGTTATCCTTACCACTACAATCATGTTCCTTCCAGGCAGGAGCGCTGACCCTGCTGGGGGCCTGATTTACTAAAGTATTAAAGTAGACCTTACACCTAAAAATATCTAACATCTGCCCATCAGCCTCCCCATGCAAAACCATTAACTAAACAGCTTTCTCAAGCTTTTTAAAGTCACGGCACCCTTTAAAAGTATGCAAAATCTTGAGGCACCCCTGTCTAAAATGTCAGATTTTAAGGGGCCCCTACAAAAACACCCAAAAAAGTGGGTTTCCCTCTACAGATTAAAGTGCCCCCTTCAAATCAAGATTTCCTCCCCCTTCACATCATTAGGAGCCCCACTTTCATATCAGTGTGCATCAGGAGCCTCACTTTCATATCAGAGTTCCTCGTTTCATGTCAGTGCTCCCCTTTTACATCAAGAGCCCTTTCACATCAGTCTTCATTCCCCACTTCACATCAGAGTCCCACTACCACTAAATTTTAAGGCATCCCTGAGGAGGCCAGGAGGCGCACCCAATGGCATTACAAGGGGGGTGCAGCCCACACCCGGGTGACACCAAAATGACCGACAGTCATTTTGGTGTCACCCCCTATGAAAAGTTGGGCACTCGGTCATGGACCAAGAGCCCGACAGTGTCAGGATAGAGGAGGGGACCCGACGGCATGCCTCATCCCGCCGGGTGAACGTCCCCTCCTCTCTCTGCCGGGGTTCATCACTAAGATGGCAGGCATCAATAAGATGACTGCGCATGCGCGATGACGTCACGGCTGTGTGTCACCTGGTCTCGGCTCCGGGTGACACCCAGCCTCGGGATGCCCCTGGGCGCACCAGTTTGCCACCGCACCTGCTTGAGAAAGGCTGAGCTAAACCTTAAAAAAAATGCTTACCATACACCACCCTCACCCAGCTGAGAGTGGCGTCACTCAACCTCCCCACAGCTTGCTGTGGATCCCAAACCTTGTAAGAGTGCTTCTGTACTGAGAAAAAAGTGCATTATCGTAAGATTTGAGAAATTCTCTGCTCTCCCGGGAGGCTGTGGTGAGGCTGACTGAAATGCAAGATCTGAGATCCTCTCCATCCTCCACCTGCGGTGAGACACAGTAGCGTCACCTACACTTATAAGAGCAGGAAGCCGGCTTTGAAGATAAGTATATTATAATTTGCTTCTTTCAGGTTTTAGTTAGAAATATTGCATGGAATGGCTAATAGAGACGAGATGTTTTAAGGTGCAAGGACTGCTTTACATTAAAAGAGAACTATGGCCCAATCTTTTTTGGCGTTCTCTTTTGGATCACAGGTGGACATTTACAAATGATCTACCCCACTACCTGATTGACAGCTGGCTCTGCCTCTCTAGAGCCAGAGCCAGCTGTGCCTGTCCCCTCCCCTTTCTGTTCCTCCAGTCAGCGCTGGAGGAATGGAGAGGAGAGGGAGCAATACCTCGGGGAGTGGTGACTGACCAGGAGTGGAAGAAGATTGGGAAGTGATCAATGGTTTGTGATCGCTCAGTTCTCAATCTATAGAGCCGATGTGTGACGTAGAGAAATGACAGGTCCTCTTCAGTAGCCTGTGACTCACCATTGCAGTGCCTGCCTGTCTCCACTTGCTCACATGACAGCTGTAATGTAGCCCTTTGTATGCATTGGGTTTTTCAGTTACTGCATTTATATTCCCATGTGTTCTTTGCTCAGTTACATTGAATATGCTGGATTAGTTTTGACATTTAGTTGCCACAGCAACACTGATGAATTGCTCCTTTTGTTGTCAGAGATGCTTTGGCATCACTTTCTCACACTGTAAATATTCTGAAGGATTTCTATCCTAGTCGATTGTATTGTGCGCCGCCTTCCTTTGATGTGGTTTTGTTTCTTTGCTGAGTTCGGCCGTGTACGTTTTTCTTTCCTGTTTGTACATGTCATGACATAAGAACATAGAAAGAGTCACAGGTCCCTTGTGTAAAGGCACAGCCAACCCGTGGCACTCAGACCGCCGAAGTCAATGTGCAGCATGGTGAACACTTTTTAAAGAGTACATTCAAAGCCAAAAGCTGTTCTTTTTTTTTTATTTTCTTTTGTGTGTGAGAACACCTGTCAGGTTTTTATTGCTGGTTGTGTCCCTGTTGGGGAAATTCACCCTCTCTGTTTTACCATTGTCACCGGGACAAAAAGTGGGAGAAAAATCCCAAATTTTACAGTTGTCACCTGAACAGGAGGGGAGAGGAAATCTTCTTCCGATGTGGACACCTGCCCAGGTGACAACCCTTCCACTCATTTTGGATGGATTTCCTCTCGCTTCCTTTTGTATTCCCAGGACACGAAGTTAAAGCCCAACTCTGGTTTCTGCCCACAAACACTTGCTTCCAGCAGTATGTTCAGTTTTATTTTTTTTTTAGATGTCTGTAGGATGGTAACATGAAGCACTGATTACTCTTCTGGTACTCTGGGCAGTCTTTGGCGATGCAGAGAGAGCGGCACCATTCTCTGTATCATTACACTATGAGCGAAGGGCACCATGATTAGGTCGGCTA